AATAATGTAAGATAATAATAATAATAATAATAATAATAATAATAATAATAATAATAATAATAAATTATTGGACAGGATTGCTTTCTCTTTCTTCCAACTAAAATTAGCCACATTCTCTCTATCTAAAATCTGAGGACAAAAGTATCTGGGGATTACTGAAAGTGAAATACAAACACTTTATATTAATATTAAATAATATAATTAAGATACATTTAAAAATATAATTATTTTTAATTAATTTAAATATATTTATATTAATGAACAAACAAAAAAAAATTTTGACTACAAGTTGAAAATGCAGAAAGGCATTTTTCTCTGCACAGAGCTTTGCTGCCTTCATACCGCCCTGCACCTGATTATGAGACAGCTGTGCAGCTCAAGTACCACAGTACTAATGCTGCTAGTCACAATGCAGCTGCTATTGCTCCACGTAGACCATACGGCACTTTTCTATACAGCAGCCAACCAGACATCCATCGAAATCAGTTATTGGAAGTACAAAAGGTAGGTTTATTAATTAATCAAAGGTAGAGCAATAGATGTTTTTACCCTTGTTTTGTTGTCATTGCCCATTAATATAGATCCTGTTGATCATCTGTACCCAGGCAAACAGTATCATATCATCCTATCTGGATGATGATGCTTTTGTTTATCATTTATCTTTCCATCCGCAGATTGCTGTTGTAAGACAGTTCAAGTATTTTCCTTTCATGCACCTTTATACCGGTACTTTCACTATGGCTTGAATCTCTTGCTTCAATCGGTAAGGTGCTGTTTGCAGAACCTAGCTGCCAATAATTTTTGCAGGTTGAGCTGTAGTAGTTGTAGTTTACAAAAGTTTGAAAATATTGTAGTTTCTGCGTAAGTTTCAGTGAAATGGTGAACCTTTTCAAACATACCTTTCAACATAAATAACATTCCTCAAACTTCCCCAATTTTGTTTCTTTTCCTTGTATAGAGCAATATTTGCTTAATAATATGGCATAGGTTCGATTTATCTTAAAATATTCGGAATTTTCAAAATTTGCAAAACTTCAGAATTTTGAAATGAAGACTATGCCATAATAGCTAGTCGAACCTAATAGCCAGTCGACTACGAATGATTGACAGCTAGAATCTTGTATGTGATATTTACCAAAAGTGGGAAGTTAAGTAGCCATTGCTGCAACAATGTGCAGATCAATAATTGCCACAGAAGTGTCTATCTGGGAGTAGAAATTCTGAATTCAACTTCTTACTGCTTGGCCAGCACCGTGTGAAAGAAAACAAAATGTTAATTTACTTGGTTCAATTATTACAGTGAAAGTATTTCAATTTCAACACAATTCCTTTGGCTCAAAAGACTCGCAACAAATTAACAAAATGACTTATTAGACTATACAGTTATTTACAATTACTTCCCTTGTGGATATTACATGTAAATGAAAATGTATTACACTGCTACTTACAAAAGTTTTCTTGGGAACATTAAAAAAAAATGTATTACACTGGCTTACACGGTTCCCGTTTTCACTCGTGATATAGTCCGAAGCGAAATTTACGTGATTTTGCAAATTTTGAATTCAGTCTTTCAGCCTGTGCGAGCGTGCTTGCGGCTCGGCCTGCTCTAGACTCCCGTTACAAAATTTATTATCTTTGCAACGGCGCTCACTGTCGCGTATCGCGCCAACCTTGCTTCGACGCTCCAAATCGGCTGCGCCGTCGCTCCTCTTCTGTCAACGATGTCGCACGAACACCGTTGTTTTCGTCTCCCTGCCCACGGAATCTGCGCCTTCGCTTCTTTCTTCACTTCCGGTACCTCACGCCCCCTCCATCTTCGCTACTCTTGATCTGTAGCACCCTGACGCATGATACACAGTCCTTACGCGTTTTATTAACGGCGTAGTTTCGGGGTATTTCATCACCTTGACTTGTGTTGCGAAGTACAAAGTCTTAAGAACCCCTCGAGACCATTAGTGCCCCTCCTGCCGATTTTATTATCTTTCTACAACTTCACCCAACTTTCTACAACTTCACTGCCGAATACTACATAACTTAGCTGCTCTACTGCTCACTTGTACACCATCTTACTCTTTCCATCTCTCTCAACAAGATGTCGATTGCGCCCTATCGGCCTCGCTCCCCGCACACGCCTGCTCATTTCGGCATCTCGTATTACACTGTAAATGCTGGAGTGGTCAGCTGCTCCGCTTAAAAAGGGTTTGCATGACGTCACGGCGGACCCCTCCGCTCTTGCCGTGAATCGGAATTTCGGCGGTCGCGCTGCGAGCCACAGATAACAGATCGCGTTGTTTCTTACGCTAATTATTTGGCGCGCCTGTGATTCGGGAACACGTCTTGGCTTCGCCGGAGCAGCATGGGTGTTGTGGGGGTTCTGAGCTCGTCTCAATGTGTGTCTCGTGTCTATCTTTCTCTGTGTGTGTGTGTGTGTGTGTGTGCTTGTGTGTGTAATTGTGTGTGGGTGTGTGTGTGTGAGCATGTATTGCAAATGTATCTCCAGTCGGCGTCGCTGATTCAATTCCTATAATGAATAGATGGAAGAGAAGAGGAGATTATGATAAATATCTATTGCATATTTTCTTGATATTGGGCAAAAATTTAATTTATTCCTGACAACATTAGCTGCCAGGGAAGTTACACGTCGCAAGAGAGCGACAAAGACTGCCTACAAACTTTACGCATGAGCTCTTGGTTCTAATAGCTAGGGAGAAACATCTTAAAACTAACATTGGGGTTTTGTCAACAATAATTCATGCATTATTAAGTAATAAAAAAACTGCCCGAGCGCGGCAACGGTGAAACTTTCGCCGGAATACCCAGCGTGGGAACTCCGTGACGTAATCAGGGGAGAGTTAATCTCCGGTTAAATACAGGATTATCACCGCTGGTTGTCGGCGCCTCCGCTGACCGGCTGGATGGCTGTCCTCGTCTCGTGATTCACCTTCGCTCTGGCGAGGGCTGGCGGCGAGGTGCGGCGACGGCGGGGCGGTCGTCAGGTCACCAACTCCCCATTCGGCTCTTCTCCTCGGCTGGCGGCGTGGTTGGTCTCGAGTCGTCAAAGGCGGGCGGGCTCAGAGTCAGCTCGAGGACACACTGGCACCGGGCGGGCGTGATGCGGGCTTGAATGGGCCCGAGACGGCACTATGCAGCGAACGCAGATTGACGCGTAGTCTGCGCGGGTCTTCGGTTTGGTGAAAAATCGCGCTCGGTGGCAAAGTTCAGCCCGACGAGCCGAAATTAACAATGTTCCTCTCTCCTCCAAGTCTTAGCTAAGAGCCACGTCTTTTCTCCTACAAGCCCCGATCAGTAACGTAATGTCGCGATCGGTAGCAAAGCGCATGTAGCATGTCGCGATCACTCGCGATCGGTAGCAAAGTTCTGTAATGTAATGCTAAGTCGCGATTGATGGCAAAGTTCTGTAATGCAATGTTTCTATAAGTCGCGATCGAGAAAAAGTCTTGTAAAGCAATCTCTAGTGTAATCTCTCGTGTCTCAGCTCCCGGCCGATCTGTCTACTCAGCTCCCGGCCGAGCTTGCCTCCGTTTCCCCCTCCCGAAAACGTCTTAGGACCCGTAGCTTTGCCCCTTCCCTCACGGGGAGATGTTTCATAGGCCGAAACTATAGCTTGCGCGTGGCGGATGGCCGGCGGGCGGGGTCTGTCTCCGGGCCAAGTCGCGGGCGGTCATTGTTTTGTTAAGTGGTTCTCCGAAGGGGGGGGGGGAGGTCTTCCCTTCGGATCGGCAGCCGACGAGGGGCGTGCGACGGGCGAGCGCCGAGCGGGCGGCTTGTAAATAAGTCTGCTGCGAACGGCACCCTATTTGGAGGCGGTCGGGGCAGGTGGCGACGAGCGAGCGGCTGGCCCGTTGAAAAGGATCCTTTGTGACAAGAGCCCAGACTTGCGATCTACATTCTTTCCGTAGAGAAAACGATCTTAATATTAAATTAATATAATTTAATTTGGTGAGCATAAGAGTGAGCAGCCTCCAACCTCTGATAGAGAGGCGGGAGGAGGGGGGGGGGTAACATTTCAGATGCAATGTATGGTACCGATATTTCTTTCAAAGCAATATCATGCTACTAAGCAAACTCTTCCCCTCTCTTCTTCTGGATCCCACATTCTCTGAATCAAGAATGAATGAATATTTGTAAAGCAGAAGTAATTTCAACCCCCTGCGTGCTTGCTCAATTTTCATAGAGCGCATTTGTAACTCAATTGAAATCTAAAAGTATTTTTTTACATATTATTGCCTTCCTGTACTGTTGGAATTAGGAGGAATGTTCCCTTTAATCTCCCATCCAGGATCCATCACTGGCTACATGGTACTACTAATTACTTGAGAACCAGCTCATCATAAAAAATGTATACACTAGGAACATATTTTATATTTTGAACAAAACTTGTATGTGTGGCCAAATAGTGTACAATTACTTCTGTAGAGGTAGAACTCTCATTCAGACACTCTGAATCCATTATAAGAGCAGATCAACGATATTCTGTGGTCAGAAATGCTTCTGTAGTGCAATTTTAAGCACTCTAAAGAATTTTGATTTTACTTATTATTATTTATTTTTCTTAAGTATATTGGATAAAAAATATGTGTGTGTGCATACATATTTTGGATTTGTTATTACAATAAATTCCTTTCCCCAATAATAACTTCGTGAAGTTTTGGCAGCCCCGCTCCTTCCCTCCCTATGCTTTTAACATTTTCAAAGCCACATTTCTAGATAGTTAATTAATGTTAAAATGTTTAAATGTATTGCTTTAATGCTTTTTAATGCTGCTTTTAATTTAAGTTTTAATGCTTAAATTAATGTTGATGACTTTAATATGTTCTTCTTTTGTTTTCCATAAATATTTTTAAAAAATATAATTTTTTGGAAAGAAAAATAATACCTGTCAAATGGTTTTGTTCATTTCTTAGAATTATTGCAAATTGGTGTTAGCCAGATCTCATAAAACAGTTCATATTTCATTAATATTTCATCCATGCTGTTTGAGCTACTTAGTGTGTGAGTCTTTGGGACAATGTGAGAACACAATTCATCCATCCTTTGTCACCCACGTTGAAAAATCCTGGAAATGATTTATTTCTGGAATAATGAGACCCTCCAAATCACTTGGTTGTTTTGTTTGTTTATTTTCAGACTTTGGCACCATTTGCTATTTATCCTGATGTGGCAGCTGATATTAAACACCAAGTCATGTTGCCTTCACCAACAATGGCATCCCCGGCCTCTGCTTATAGCACATCGGACTTGGATGCAGTGGATGCTGGCTTGCACATGCTGCACCTGTACCAGTCCCCACCCCGGCACACTGCCCCAGCTGCAGCACCAGGTCTACATTCTGGTGCTGCACCTCCTCCGCCGTACCCAGCCCTGCGTGGTGCAAGTAGCTCCACTCCTGATCTGGCTACCCAGACTGTGGGGGCTCAGACACTCATTACACCAGCAGCGGCAGTTGCTGTAATGGGTGGGGGCCGTCCTGCTCTGCATGGCCCTCTTCATGTAAGAATCTCGGGGTTTATGAATGTGAGGGTTTAGTGTGTATCAAATTGCACACAAAAGGAAGCCTTTGTAAACTTGTCTAATTAAAACTTATTCCTTATTGATTCTCTTAAAAAATCCCTTTCAATTTAAAATGTTTATGAAACTCAACTATTTTAAAGTTACATAATAACAATTTTCAAGGCCTCATGACAAATTCTTAGCCAGTAAATGTGATAAAATTAATTGTAACAAATTCAATTTGATTATTCAGAAAAGCAATAATGATGCTTTACGAAATGGTACCAATAATTTTTAAATCCTCCAATCAATTAAAGCCAACCATTTACTCTCAATGTAGATGGTACAATCTACATGGCCTTGAGCAGTTGCTGATTAAATATATCACCTCTTGATTTCACAAGATCATAAACTAATGCAATAATGCTCTTAATTTATAAGTAACAACAAATAAATTAATAATAGCTACAGGCTGATGTGCTTTAATACATCTCTCTTAACAGTGCTTCACCATACTTCCTTTCAAAATGTTTGCACTGGTATGTGACTACAAATTCTGAGTATTGCCTGTGGTGCAGGTGAGCGGCTCCAGCCCTGATCTGGTGTCTTCACGGGTTACTGGTGGTGGGGGGCACATGCCTCTAGGCCTGCCTCCTACACCTGCACCTCTCTCCCACAATGCAGCTGCACACCGCACATACACTGACTTAGCTGCTGCTGCAGCTGCAGACACTCCACTCATGTCTGCACCTGAGCCAATCTATGAGAATGTGCCTCTGCCCTGGACCACCGCTCCTGGGCCAAATGCGGGTTTGCTGCTGCAGCAGAGTGACCCAATAGAAACTTCTACATCTAGCGCTTCCGCTATTCCATCTGTTTCTACTGTGAGCTCCTCCCTTGCGAGTGGACATAATCAGCCTCATCCACACACCCGTCCTCTGGCTGAACACCATCAGCCAACTCCATTGCTCCAACACCAGATGCAACAGCAACTTCTGCATCAACCACATCCTCCTTCACAACAACAGCAGCCACAGCTTTCACAACCACTCCTTTTACATCCTCAACAACAACAACAACAGCAGCAGCAACAGCAACCGCAACATCATCATCAGCAGCAGCAGCAACACCACCACCACCACCACCACCATCAGCAGCATCAACAACAACAGCAGCAGCAGCAGCAGAAGCAGCAGATTATGGCATCAGCAATAACACAAGTACATGGATCTCACATAGGTGAGTGCTTCTTGTATGCATTCTTACATTGCTTTATGATTTTCTTCTGTATAATATGAATTGGTCTTCTTTAGCTGATGTTGTTGCCTTCTGTAACAGAGCAGGAAATACCAGATAATTCATGCAGTGCAACGGATGCTGGAGGGAAAGGCAAGGTTAAGAAGAAGTGGGTTCTGCTTGGTGGTAAAGGCAAAGGCAAAAGTAGTACGTTGGGCAAAGAGAAGCCAGCTTCAGCATCAGCTATTGCCTCCTCTACCAACTCTGGCTCCGACATTTCTAATCGGCAATTGCGCTGGAGCACTGGGTTGCCACGCTTACCGCTGCCTCCAACTATTTCAAAAGAAGCAATGGTGAGTGGAAGGCATTTTTTTTAAGTCGTAAGTCGAAGTCCAGTGGCTTCCATTCAGCAGACAACTGATGATGATGGCTAAGCCATCAAAAACTGCTCTTGTCATAAATACTATTTTTGGCAATGACAATGTTTATAAATATTTCATTTTAGGAGAATAATGCTAAAAGTCATTAATATTTACATTAATTTTTCAGACCTGCTGAATGGAAATTGATCTCTCCCTTCTCCCCCTTTTCCTCCTTCACATATCCATCCTCTCCCTCCCATTTTATCTCCCCCTTCTCCTCTCCCTCTTTATTATCATATCCCTTTTCCTCTCTTTTCTTTCTTCAATTTCTCCCTTTCTTGTCACCCTTTTCCCCTCTCCTCTCCACTTCTTCCCCTCGCTCCCCTCTTCTCGCCATTTCCCTCCCCTTTAACCACTTTTCACCCCTCCCTTCCCTTTCCTTTTTCTCCTCCTGTCCTCTCATCTTCTTTCTCTTCTCTCCCTCCCTCTCTCTCTTTTTCTTCTCTTTACAAATGAAAGTCACAAAAAAACAAAATACATACACCACATATCACATAAAGACACATTTTTGAGTAAATGAGATGACATATCATATTATTTGTTTCTATATTGAATTGCAGTGTCGAGTGCTGGAAAGAAAATTAGCTGACAGCCAACTCTTCTTTGAATTTGAAAAGATACCAAAGAAGAAACAAAATGCTGACTTCTCTACAGCTCTTCTGCCAGTCAATGAGAAGTTCAACAGGTTTGTCTTCATTATGACTGTATATGTGCAAATATTATCAGGCATCTATTTGGCAGGAAATAATTTCCTGTAGCTGTAGAAAACTAAATAGCAAAAGAAATAAAATACCAAATACATTTGCTTCATTACACAAAACTCAAAATTTTCATATATATCCGTCCACCCGAAATGTGAGCGCTCTCCCCACTGATTCCAAAGTTAGTCAGCTCGCTTCGCCGCTTCCAAAACAAGTCAGCTCGCACCGCCGCTTCCAAAACAAGTCATCCCGTTCCCTTCGGCGGTCCCTCAGGGAAGCTCTCGTGTCACGTGATTCCTCCGCCGCGTCTCGCATCGCGATTGGTAGTCGCGGCCTCCGTGGTTTCTCCGTCCTATCACTGCATCAGCAGCCGAGCTGCGTCCAAGCGACTTTCTCCGCAGTAACCCCCGCGCACAAATTCCAAGAACTTGGCGCGGGTAATTCCGTTGCTCGGTTTGGGGGTGCGGGAGACGTTAATGATAAAAGATACTGGGGTTACTGAAGAAATGAATCCATCATATTATTATCCAGATTTATCAAAAACATTCTCATTAATCAGTTATTTTTGAACTTTTTACAATTGATGTGTAAAATATACAGGATAACTCATTAAATGATTTAATTCTCACTACATTGTGTGTCCTCTTCCTTGTTGACTCTGGGGGGGATTAGATTTGGATTTACTTAGACAAAGAACAGTAAAAACTATATGTGATGTATGGGGAGGAGATAATCTGCGCACATTTTTTTGACTTCCAGAATCCCTTCTCATCATTTTAACTAGAAACAGTTGAAAAAGGAGTAAAAGTTAAAGATAAATAAATAAATGAGTGAATGAATCTATATAGATATAGATATATTCGTTCCTGAATTGGAGAAAACGTTTTTGCAACAGTAAACGAATGATTTTATTTTTTGCATTGCTAACAAAATAGTATCTCACCCTTATCTTCTACCACTACAAGTATAACGTGTGCATAGCGAAGCTACATTTTCACCCAGTCAAAACAAGGGGCCATGTCAGCATTTGCATGAGCAAAACTGGACAAAAACCTGATCTAGATGGAGGTCATTGACTCAGAAGCTGAGATACATTATTTCTTACAAGCATGTTAAGTCTGTTTAAAAAAATTATACAATACAAATGCAACTTAATTCATTATATATCACTGTTTTGTTAAATAAACATTTTTCTTTCTGTTGATCTGTATAGTTCCTAATTGTATAGAAAGAGTTATGCAGCAGAAAAGATTTTACTTTTAACTTAAATTTATGTACTAACTTCAGTTTTTTAATGTCATCTGGCAATGCGTACATATAAAGTTCATGTATTGTATGTGCATTTCTGATAGTGAGCTGTTGATACTGAATGTGATTTCTACAACTATGTTGAAATCATAAACATCAGTATTGCATGAAAATATGTTCCCACCATTAAGTAAGTCAGATGTGTACGTAACCTTCCGCGGCTCGAATCCATGAATTCTTGGCTATCCGGGAGACGCCGCGTCGTTGGCTGGGGAACTGGAACCTCTGGCGCTAGGCCCAGGTTAGCCCAGACTGCTGGCCAATCAGGGAGACCTCTCCGCCAATCACAGCGCACCTGCCCCTCCCGAGAACCCAGGCAAGATAGTTTAAATCAACAGGCGCGTAGCGCCGCAGTGTCACTGCCCTGAGGAAGCCTGCGAAATGTCAGGCGAAACGTCGGCACCCCAGCCAACGACGCGGCGTCTCCCGGATAGCCGAGAATTCATTAAGTAAGTCAGTTTTGACAAAGCTTTCAGTTTCGTAAATAAATAGGCAAGGCAATGGTAAGATTCCAAGCTCAATAAAGAAAGGTTTGAGGAGATCACACGGATGGCATTTTTTTATTATTCGAATTTTCTTTTGCAATCTAAAGGTTTGGATAGTATATGATGAGCTTCCCCAGAATAGTATGCCATATCTCAGGTGGGAGTACACATTTGCAAAATACACGCCACAAGCTGCATGAAGGTGCACAGAATTCTGAATGCATAACGTAATGAATGTAATTTGGTGTTTATTTCTGTTATATGAACATTCCTCTTGAGGTTTGGCTGAATTGAGAGACCTAGAAATTTTGTTACCTTTTTAATGGAACATGTGATTGCAGGTTTGAAATGCAAAAGTGCATTGATAGTTTTTCCTTCGTTCACTTTTAATTTGTTATTACAAAACCAATTTGAAACTTCTAAAATTGTACTATTTATTGTTTCTTTTTTGCAATGAAACAATATCGGTGTCATCGTCAAACCGGTCATCGGTGTAAGAATTTAGGCATTCTGATGGTGTTCCTGATATATAAATATTGATCTTGAACCAACACATAATTATATAACAACGATTTTTCAATAAAATAATTTTTTATATCTATCATATTTTTTCTATATAAAGACTTTGTTGGGTATAATACATGCTTTTTATAAATAATTTTGATAATCTTTTTTTGTATGTTAATTAGCGATTTCTAATGTCAAATCATAAACCCTACCCCTAGCTAATAAACCATACGTTACAACCGCCCAAAATAAAGCTTAGTAAACAGGTATCATCAATAGTTGCTTAGTTTCACAAATCAATCTCAGTTTACTGAAAACATAAATAATATATCTACTCTCATGTATCAGTTGGAACACATAGTATTTCCATTTAAAATGTTGGACAATATGGGCTTCTAAATCCTTCAATTCTCAGTACATATGGATAATCACAGTTTAAATTATTACAGCTCATTTGTTTAGCTTAACATCACATTTCCCTGGTATACTGTCCAGATAACTACCAAATGTTATAAATGCAGTCTCCTATATTTAAGTTCACAAAATTACGACTGCCATTTCTCTACCAAAAATAACTTCACTTCTGATTTATTTATCACATTGTCTCAGGATTCACCATTAATAATTATACTCTTATTGTATCTGTTAATATAAATGTGTATATGTTAATATAAATAAAAGTGGACAAAGAATTGTATCTTGAGCCACACCACATTTCACTATTACTCCTCACTATACTGGCCATTTATACTTATATATTTCGTTCTCTTTGATAAATAGCTTTTGATTAATTTGTAAACAATTTCTCTGAACCAATAGGATGGCAGGTTTATTATTAAGATTTCACGATTTATTGTGACAAAAGCTTTTGCGAAGCGTAAGGAAATAGAAATACACATGATACTTTTATCTGTTAATTTACTAATTTCATCTGTAATATCAATAGTATCATTTCTGAGGTTAAATTTAGTATGTTTACTTACTTCTATCAGTGTAATTTTTTTTATTTCCATGTCTTGTAAAACACAGATTCACTCTTGCCATCCATTGAATGATCATGCATCATGAAACAAAATCTCAATGATGATTTTTATTCATTTTCATGTTATGTTTCACTTGATACAAAGCAATTTGTTTGAGATTCTCTCTTTACTGACCCATTCGAAAGTACCAGTGTGAATAGCTTGCCAAATTCATGGCGGATGCCAAAATTACAGTTGCAAATGTAATTATGTATTATCGATTCCTGTGATATTTTTATTGTCTTCGAAGATTAGTTTTGTTACTTCAACATTTCTGACTTTCGTTACATGAAAAGGCAATGTAAAATTATAACTCTTAACCAACTAGGCTTAATCTGCGCAAATAAGATGACTCTGTGTTTTGTGAATGAGATATTTAGGAAAAATACCTCATTTTATATTCAAATAAATAAGGAAATCCTTCATTTTGAGTATTTGGGAAAAACTGTTTATCCATGTAAAAGTTCATTTCTGTTCACCTGGGATAAGCAGTGTCCTATTTAAGTTTCAAGAAATTATAAATTAAAGAACTGTTCTAGGCTAAAGGTAGTTACTTTAGTGAAAATATGAGTCTTCTGGAAGTTTGTCATGAAGTTAATTATTATTGTGGTGTGATTATTTTTTTAAATTGTTTTAAGTTTTATTTTATTTGTTTGATTAACAATGTGGTGCTTATCCATGTAGAGTCTAGATATCCATGTATAACAAAAGTGGATGCAGCACATGAGTGTCTGCTTACAATTATTCATGAATATACTAACACAATGTTTCTTGCTGTAGATAGGAATTTACAATAACTTTGCTTGATAGGATCTAAAGAGGTATCATTCGCTAATTTGCACATTCTGGTTATTGGATTGTTTGCAGTGAATGACATAGTATAAGTTTTTATAAGGAAAAGATCAGTTTGTTCCATTGACATCGCAGGAACTCTAAAGTTAATTTGATCATACTGGCAGTGCCCATGCATTATATGTGTATGTATGGTGTTTAATAATGTTTATTGTTTATAATGGGTTTGTCAAAAAACACTTTGTGTGATAATCGTAATTGAATAAACATACATATATGTGGAGACAAAGAGTGAAACTGATGGAATTAACTGGCAGTATTGCAAAAAACGTAAATCAAAAACAATAATAAATTGCAAGAACAATGTGTCATATCACTCAAGATTCAATTTTGGGACTGTCAAATCTTGAGCTCATTCAGATCCTCAAACAAGAATTTTTAAAAAAACAAAAAAAAAACTGAGAAATTGAGTGACAAATCACTAAACTTGAAATAGATTTAGCATACAATTAGGAAGAAAGCTTGAAGAATATCAAGAACGTGAAAAAACTGTTAGATGTTTTGATGAACAAGCTGTCCTCAGATATTGATAACTGCAAAACTTGAAAAAAGACGTGATACAATGAAAACACTACAAAAAGATACCACTGAGGAGTTGGTGAAATATAGAATGAATTACTTGATTTTAAATTGGCTGCCATGGTCCCAAAGTCGAATCTTGAGTTCCTTAGAGAAATAGAGGATCGTGTTTTATGCAAGAGAAATGTAATCCTTAATGGATTTAGGTGAAGCAGACAATGCTGATGCGAAGGAGCATCAAACCCAAAATCAAATAACTGTTGGGAACATTCTGGAGTAATTTGGATATAGATATTCAGGGTCATATGATCTACACTACACAACTGGGGATAATGAGCCGGGAAAATTCAAAGCCCAAAAATTCAAAAATTAAGGTGGTTATGAAAGGTACTGACTTCTACTGAGAAATTGTAGAAAACTACTCAAAGGAATCAAGGTCAACAATGATCTTTCTCCATTATAAAGGAAAGTGCTGAAAGATCTCAGGGAACAACTGACAATTAAACAATAAGTGAACCTTAACCTTACTGTCAAGTATATTACAAGAAATCCAGGGATCATGGACAAGAAGGGAAACGAGGATGAGCAGCAACAAGAACATCATCCCAATAATTCTGTACACCAATATCTCATCTCTCGTTTCTATGTTTGATCAATTTCTGGAGGAAATCAATATAGTGAAACCCCACATAATAGTAATCATGGAATCCTGGCTTAATACCAACACTCCTGGCAGCCTGATACATATCCCAGATTTTCTATCCAGAGAAGAGACATCTTCAACATGAAGCATTAGGCCTGAAGACCTGGTCTGTCCTCTTCAACATTTATATCATCAATCCACCGAGTTTTTGGTTTTCCATCTCTTCTTCTGCCAGCCGGTACATAATTTATTATTTGTTTAGGAAGTCTGACATTCATTCTATCACTATGATTGTACCAATTTTGTTTCTGTTTTTCCACTCTTTCTAGGAGGTTATAAATATTTAGTTCACTTGAAAGACTGATTGTCCAAACACTGCGACCACTCACAAAGCTAATCTAATCCCCAGAGATCAACATGGATGTGTATCAGGAAGATATCCTACTTGATCAGCTCACTTGCTGTGTGTACCAAAATGTTAGACCAAGGACAACCTATGGACGTAATTTATCTGCACTAGGCTTTCAACGAATGCTAAGGCTTTCAACGAAGTCTTCCACAAGTGATTGATTTATAAACTAGGAGGGGAATACAAGGTAAATTATTAGCATGGATTAGAGATTAACTCTCGAATAGAACTTCTCAAGTACATATTGGAGACACAGTATCGACACCCCAAACTGTTGCAAGCGGGATGCCTCAGGGAGAGATGACGTTTTGGGTCAGATGCTGTCCATTCTATACACAAGTGACCTGGGTGAGGGAATAGCTACAGGATGGAATTGCTATGCAGATAATACAAAACACTTTGCTAATCCGTTGAATGAGCACCAAGCATTATAGAATTATCCGACTAAAAAAAAAAAACCCTACCCTACACAATTTCAAATCACAACTTGAAGAGCACAGCAACACCAAATAACCTAGATGTACTAATTCTGCAAGATTTGATATGCGAAAGATAGGTCACCAAGGGTTCCAAACAAGAAAATAACATACTATATTTAATGAAGGCTTTCTCTAAACTGGACAAAATAATAATAAAGAGAATTTATACAGCCTACTATAGTCCTGTGTTGAATATACAATCATGGTGTGGTTCCCATACTATGAAAAAGATAAACCATAACTAGAGAAAGTACAAAGGAAAATCAACAGGATCCCACAACAGTAACGCAGAAAAGACTACCAACAGAAATGCCAAGAAATGTCATTACTCACATTGGAATAAAGAAGGAATAGAATTGACATAATTGAGACATAAAAGTATGAATGGCTGCTATTATATTCTACAATAAGCAGATGTCTCCACAAGATCTCCAGACGACAGATTACAAGGGCACACAACGAAACTAAAAAAAGAAAAAACAAGGAGAGGGCAGAGATCTCACTTCATCACCAATAGGATCATTAACACTTGGAATGAACTGCCAGCAGACTGGATTGGAAAGGAGACCTTCAATGCCTTCAAAAAACAAACAACATTGTAAGATATGTGTATATCAGCTTGTTGCTACCACCATTATTTCATTAAATAAAAAAAAGACCTAATAATAAAGAACAGTCTATCTCATCATTTATTATTTTGTATACAAATGTTAAATTATTCAAATCTCTGGATGAATTTAATGTGGGGATGTTTAACAATAGAGAAATTTTGCGACATTGATGGTTAATAAAAGGATATGGAAGGGCCAAGCTGGGTGCAGCAAGTCTAAAGAATTTGTGTTGTACTGTTTCCAGTTTCTGTAAATGGTGTAAGTAAAAAGGTGACCAAATTACTGATTGATACATTAGTATTGAATTAACCCTGATAAGAAGACATCAATGTGTCAATTGACCTGAAACCAAGGCAGGTTCTTCTAATGAAACCCAAAAGTTGGTTAGCCTTATTTACAGTGGGATCTATATGAACAGAAAATGTAAGTTCTGTCCCTAGAAGTAGTAACTTTCTCTAATGAAACAGAATCTATTTTGTATTTATATTGTACAGGTGATCTAGGCTGTGAGAATATAATGCATTTACATTTTGAAGGATTTAAATTTAAGTCATTATAAAAGCACAATGTAGCAAACAGACTGAGACAAATCATAACATCATCCAATCCAGCAAAAACCTTGAACAATTTTAAGACATCAGCAAAAGTTAAAAAATTAAATATAATTAAGAATTAAATGAACATCATAAATAATAAGAATGAACTGAAGTGGACCCATGTGAGATCCTTGAGGCACTCCTGACAGAACCGTGAAACAAACTGAAGTACAATTCTTGTATTTCACAAACCGTAGTTATAAGATAATTTGGTATATAATTAGTGAACCACAAGTAAATGGAGCAAGATACACCGAATGCTTTTAATTTCTGTAAAAGTAATCGGTTGTTAACTGGATCGAAGGTATTGCTGAAATCGATATAAATACTGTCTACTTGATATTTATTTTCTAAAAAGTCACATAGGTGTTGAGTGTAATAAGCATGCTTAGCTTCCATTTCTTCTACTCCTAATCCAAATTATTTAAGCGATAGATAAGGGTATAGCAATTCTTTTAATTTATAAGTTACAATGGATTCAAAAGTCTTCGATATAGTACTAAACATAGGGATTGGACGATAATTATCAATATTGTTTGTGTTTCCCTACTTAAAAATAAGAAATATAAATGAGGTCTCCCATTCAAAGGGAAAAGCCCATCACATAATGACTTATCAAAAAGAATCTTTAGAATTTTTGATAATATGAAGCTTCAGTTCTTCAAGAAGATGGGAGGTAGCCCGTTTGGGCCTCTGTTGACATTTAAAGTAGTTATTTTATCCAGTATATCAGAGAAAGATATATCTACAGTATTAATTTATTTACACAAACTAGTCCTGTGGGATAAACTGATTATTTATTTATTTTGAAATTACAGACTATATGTCCACTTTTACATTGTTAATTAATTAATTGTAACAGTGTAGTATTAAAAGCAATATAATGAAAAGAACAAAAGGAAACAAAAATGTCAAGAATATTTAAAATATGCCTAGCTACATATGTGACGAACCAAAACAATAACAACTGATAATATAATTAAAAGGATCTTTTACATGCAATTCTCAAATAGACATACAGAATTAAGAAAGTATAAAAGGACACAAAAAAATATAAAAAACAATAACAAATAACACAGGTAATTTCAGCATTCTTAAATATACAGGCTAAAAGTATGCAATGATTAATAATGGAGCATTCAAAAAGTTATCAGCAGTATTCAAAAAGTGAGCTACACGCATCCCTTTCAAAACCAAAATGTTGGCATGGCTTGGGTCTACTCAATACCATCAGCAATTTTACAAATTCTGCTAATTGGATTGTTGGAGGTGAACACTTTCCTGTATTCATTTTGTGAAAAAACACCATGTTTTCTAGAATTAAATTGCAGCACTTTGAAAAACTGAAGTATCCTTAAGTTGTGGATGAAACGATATGTATTCTTAATAATTGTTTGTATTGTATTATCAGTATTATATATTATAATGTATCATAATGATATGTTATGTATTACATATTATAATAAATGATTGCAGATATAAAGATGTACTGCCCTATGAAGAGAATCGTGTGCGCCTCACACCATTTCGAGATAACAAATTTGGATACATCAATGCTTCCCACATAACTGTGAGTTTTCTTAGCATCTCAGTAAAGGAATTTCATTTACATCATTCTTCTAATGATAACGTCAAACTGCATGTTCCCATATGTCATTCTAAAGTGTTGCCCTTTTTAGTCTCTCTCTCCCTCTCCCTCTCTTCCTCTCCCTCTCCCCCTCTCTCCCTCTCTTGGCTTCGTTTCCTCGCTTTTCCTTCTCCTTCCACGTCTCTGTGCCTTCCGGTTCCCTCGTTGTCTGTCTTGGTTGCCGTGCGTTGGCTTCGTGGGCTTTCTGTCTGTTGCGCTCTTGGGGGGCTGCTTCTTTGTGCCGTGGTGGTGTTTGGCCTCGTTTCGGCCTTCCCTTTTCTCTTCGCCGCGTGGCCCGCCTTGGTCGCCTCTAGTGTCCGCCTGCCTGTCATTCTCCCCTCTCCTTCGTCGTGGGCCGCCGCGTGGCCCCCCCGGTCGGCTGCTGCTCTCTGTTGCGAGGCCGCCAGGTCTTCCCGGCTCCTTTCCTGTTGCCGCTGTTTTCTTGATGCCCTGGGCTACTGTCTCCAAGCTCCGGCGTGTGGTCATCCGGGCTTCTGCTTCTCTTTGTGGGGTTTCTCTTGCTCCTTTCCTCTCTGCTCCCCTTCCCGCCGAGGTGCGCTTTGGTGTCCGCTCTTGGCTGCGTTTGTTGTGCTCTTTGTTTCCCTTTTGTCTGCTCCTCTGGTTTTTGTCATTCCTTGCAGTCCGGTCGGTTTACTTTTGTTTCCTTGTTTGTTCTGCGCTCTTGCATTTCCTTTCTCTGGCGCCGCTTTTGTTGCCTTGCTTCTTGAGTAGTTTTCACCCATTTCTCACGTAGATCGTCGTAACTTTTCCCCCCTTCCTTTTTGCTTTTTTGGCGCCTTTGCATTTCCCGGCTCCTTCGTTGTGGTGTGTCGCTATCTGCCTGCCTATTCTTCACTTCCCTCCGCAGTTCCCCGTTTTTTGCACTTTTGGGTTTCTGTCAATGCCTCTACTCGCTTCTGCCTACTCTCGCTCTTCTCGTCTCGCCTCTCCCAATCTTCCTCTCAGTTCATACGCGTTCTCACTTCTTCTCGCTCTCAACCCCGCTGATTTCTTCTCCCTTTCTTCTCTAGGTCTCCCCTCCACTACGCCTTTCGACTTTCGCGCCGCTCATCGTCTCGTGCTCTCATTTAAACCCTCAGAGTAATTCCTTCTATAGTTCTACCCATCTCCTCTCTCCCTCATCTCTGCCTCCGGTCTCTCTCTCGTATTTCTCCTCTTCTTTTCGTAGTTGTTTCCATTGTATTACGCTCTTTTTTCTCCAGTTTCCTTGCCTCCAGTTTCATCAATCATCTGGGTGGAACAGGGCTTCTATCAAATCCCACTTCTCTAATCTCTTTTTCATCTGCCTCTTTTCGTACTATATTCCCTTCACAGCTTTTTATCTATCTCCTGCTCTCTCTCCCTCTCTCTCTGTCTACTCTTTCTCGAATTTTCAAAATACATATGTGTGAGTGTGTGTGTGTTTGTGTGTGAGGAGAGACGGGTCATGGATAAGCAGATGCTTGTGTGATGTATGCACAACAACGTTTGAACCATTCGAGTGATTGCTTCTAAAATTGTATTCAAACATTTGTGAGCAAGCAAGAAAACCATAGGGAGTTGGCTATCCCAAAGTGTTTGTTACTGGAAATGATCCAACCTACAATGAGAATTGGGCTAATGAGAGGTGAGCTGGATAGAATTAGGTACACTCATAAAGCCCAAATTATACAGAAAATGATACAATGTAACCTTATTCATTTGGATGAGAGTTATTAAAAAATTATTAGTCATTAAGATATACAGTTTTAGCAGAATGTTTAAAAGTTCTGAACGTGATAGAAATTAATCCTTTTCACTTTTCCGTTTCTGCACTACGGGACGTTCTCTTTTCCTGGTTCTGGTCTGTTGTCCCCTGGTGCATATTTCACTCAGGTAGATGACATCATTTACCAGTACAAATAATTCCATTTAGGAGAGATTAGGCAGTAATTTCTTTCATTGTTACCAGAGTTTACCCATTTTTTGTAGTTTGAAATAAGTTTGTTTTCAAGGCTCATTTGTTCTTAAGATGTTGTTGAGAAGTAAGCTTCTGAGGCTGTTACATTGTAAACTGAGTGAATCAGTAAACAATTTGAGTGTGAACAATCTTCAGAAAACTAAGAATTTGAAAACCTTTTCTCCAGTGAATAGACAGAAAATAGGCAGAAAATTACAGTAGAGATTACTCATACTCTGCTGATACAATGCAATGTACAGCCATTAAGATTGGGTGAAGATCTCTGCACCAAATATTACATAACTTACATAGTTATGTATTTTTAATTACTTAAATAAGTTAAAAAATATTTTTGTAACATTAAAAATATTTTGTTTGAAACCTGAGTACAATTTCTTTGCCATGGCACGCCGTACTGGTACAATCAAGTACCTGGGGATTTAAAGGGTATGTAATGAGAAAACAGCTTTGAAACTTAGATTTCAAGAATCTGTGAATAGTCCCCAGTCCCTTGGATTGTAGTCCAAATGTGAATAAAACTGCTCATGTTACAACTGACGATAAGAGAATCTTCCTTTCTAAAGTACTGACTGAAATCTTTTCCTGAGTTCTATAGAGACACACTTCAACATTAGATTGTAGGAGATTTCATTCTTGAAATCTTGATGCCAGAAGATTTATTTAGTTTTTAGATAGGTCCAAGTCTTTAATTAAATCATTTGGTTGAACCTGGCTAAACCTTTGTAGCTCACTGAATTCATTTTCATGAACAAAATGTGTACTCCATGAAGATGAAGTATGAGGTGTTTCTCCTTTCCACATTCCCTTTCTCTTTGTCTACACCTGACTGTATAGTGCAGAAATAGTAATCATTTTTGTCATTTGTAGGCACTCTCCAAGTAATTGAGATGGCAAACGAAATTGAACACACTTTTTTGTTTAACTACCCATTTTGTTTCACAGCAAATATATTGCATATTGTATGCAGTGGCCTGGACTAGTCCAGATCCAATTGCATCTAAAAAATAGTGGTGATGTGCTTCCTTTATGTTAGGAGTAATTCAACATTTCTGGAAAGCAAATGTTCTCTCACAACATATGACAAAAATTGTCAGGACAGGTTTGACAATTTTATGGCGTCCAGGGTTCTTCAACTGATACAAATAAAAACTTATATCAAAATAATTAGTAACTTACATTTACACACAATCTAAAAGAAATATAATATATAATTCAATACCTGGAACATAAATATAATTCATTACCTGGAACAAGGGATATGGAACTGTCGAGTTATAAAAAAACCCATAACCCATCACTGCTGAGGTCAAATATGCCAACATAACTCTGGGCATTAAATTTTTTAAAAATTGCTCATAACTTACATGGCTATATCAAAATGTACTGCCGGCTAAATTTAAAAAACAAAGTTGCAAAAAGTAAATGGCCTAAGTTAGAATCCTGGGGCAGGGCACATCTGTTGAAGAAGAGAATGAGTCAGAACAATAAATATTGCGCCAAAGTCTACAAAAACTGAGATATGAACAAAAAAGTTTGAAATAACTGACGGATATAAACAGCTCAGTCTCTCCAGTATTAGACCATGATGTAGGATGTCAGAAACCTTAGTAAAGTCTGTGTAAATATCCTCAACCTGCTCAAATTCATTCAAAAAGTAGATAAAGATTGTGAAAAGGACATAAGATGGTGACAGTAGATCTGGCTTTCATAAATCCATGATGAATATCTTTTATATATGGTTTAAATGCAGAATACAAGATTTCATATAGATGATTCTCAAGGATTATCAAAAAATGACGTAATAATGATATGGGCCAATAATTAACAATAAGACTGTGGTCACTCTTCTGAAAAATGGGGCAGATTCTCGCAGATGTCTATTTTGTGGGATATATACCACATTTTCAAATTTCAAGAATAATAAGAAATTAGGGTTTCACGAGAGCACTGGGACATGATCTCAAAAGCAGTGATGGTATGTTGTCAGTACCATTGTCCATTTCTCAGGCATTCTCTTAAGTTTACATAATTGAAAGTAGTCATCAATTTTGACAACATTACCTAGGTTATCATGAACAAAAATATCTGGCTTAGATAAAATGACAGATGAGTTAAAGTAGAAGTAGAAAAAAGGTTTCAAGAATTTATCAGCATTAACAACAGGATCCAATGATGTACCATCATTGGACAAATTAGCTAGGATTCTACCAGATTTTTTGTTTTTAGGGCCCAAAACTTTTAAGGATCTTTAAAAAGAGACTGTTCTATTTCTCTTTTGTACATTTTGTAAGGCACGCTTATAATATCTACACTAAAAATTTCAACTAAAGATTTAATATTATTTGATGTGCATCATTAATAATAGAAATATATTTCAATTGCTTCCTCATTTTATTTTAACAATAATTTCAAAGGTAAATTGAATTTGAGGATACATTTTGACCTAATATTCAAGATTAGTCTATGCTGTTGATACTTAATTTAACTCTGTATAAAATACGCGGCACAAATTATCAATGTGTTTATAATAATTTAATTACAAACCTTCAGGCCCATTAACAGCCTCTGAATTTCTCCAGGGCATTTCCTATTTTTTGATTTCTTTAATACTGTCTCTAGTTCTTGAATATTGATTACTTATTAACAATTTTATTGACAGTCTGAATATTAATTTGTTTAATAGAAAAAATGGCAATTTTATCTTTATTTATGATCTGATGTAGTAGATGGTTGCAAACCACTGTTTGGTAATCAAGACCTTTTTACTTTGAAATAATCATATGTAGAAAAACCATATAATTCTAATTTTCTTGAGAAAAATAGTTGTGAGTGACAGCTATTGAATTTGTTGTTTCAGGCAACAGTGGGCAGTCATCAACGCTTTTATATTGCTGCTCAAGGTCCATTGCCTCCCACTGTGCAGAGCTTCTGGCAAATGGTGTGGGAGGCTGATGTATACCTTGTTGTAATGCTCTGTGGTCTTCGTGATGATGCTTCTGCAGCCTACTGCCCCATGAGTACAGACCGTGGTCTTGAGGTGGGAGAGGTAAGTGTACTTGAGGAAAACATTATGAGTTACAAGGGTTTTGGATTAGATGTAATAGAATAGGGTACACATGCCTGTTGCATGCCTTTACATGCTTGCTGTCTCTATTGGTTTTTTAATTGTCACTTTCCTTAATTTTGTTAATAAGCCTTAAAGCATTGAACACAGATTAATGCTCTTCTAAATGTAGTCTGACTTTGTCATGTCATTTCCTTTTATCCTGTTAGCCAGAGACTTTGTGCCCTTATTACCTGGGCTTCCGAGATGGTCACTCATCCAGGGACTTGCAATGTCTTGAGCTGCTTAATGTCCATGACTTAACAAAGTATGATTTAGGGATTCAGCTAGTGATGCTGATCACGTAGCTGTTCTTTCACCATTACAATTGTTGAATATGTCTTATTTTCGATGAACAGCACCATTTCAAAATGGCGTCAATAGAAACGGTACACCCCATAAAATCTATATAAAGATTTAAAAAAAGGACATTTTTAGATATTTGGTTTCAAATGTCTATCAGTTTACAATTTTTACTAGAAATATAAATCTTTAAAACAATGAATGTTTGATTTAGATTATAAAGACCATCAAGGGGAGTTAGTTCCATGGTTACTGTAATAGGTTGTCTATAGAAATAAGATTGTCTCCTGAGCAAAATCTTTGGTAAGATGCAATAACAATTAAATAAAAAGGCTATAACTTATTTAAAAGATGGAGGAGAAAATGTCATCAAACTATAATAAAATATAAATTTATATTAATATATATAATAAAAGAGCTTTGCGGTTCAGCACGATAATCTCTAAATACAGGATGAATATCAATGAAACTTAGTGCTAGCTTCCTTTGAAGTTCATGAGTACTGTAGGTTAAGATTTACCTTAATGTATGAACAAAACAATTACTTTTCTGGACTTTTTTCACTTTGCATTATGTCACAGATTCAAGAGTGCATCAATGTGGAATAGTTCAACTGTGCGCCACTATAGCACAACAGATGACTACAATTGAGTTCATCAATTTCACTCTTCAGTACTGTCTTCACTCATTTCAATACACAATTATAGAATTGTGTATATATGTACGATACATGGAAGGCTGTTTATTAATTTTACAGTCAATTATCTATTGCGAAATATTTATATTTAAGAATGTTTCTGTCTGTTTTTCTTCACTCTATTTATAAAGTAGCATGGATATTTATTTTCATTGCATCTAGGTGTGAATGTATGAAGTGCACAAAAAAGAAGTATCCATGTCTGAAATGTTTGGAAAACAACATTTTGTTCATGGAAGTTTGACATTGTTGTAAAAAGATATGAATGCACACATGTGTTCTACACGAAAGAGTTATTGATTCGGTTGTTGTACATTAAGCATGGTTATTACGTGTTTGCGAGTTGCAGTAGTAAAGTAAAATGAGTAAAAGTGAAACATATTATAAATGATTCACGTGTTGTATTAAAAATGTGACAGATGGATGAATTTTCATTGGGAAAAGTTTTATGATAGTGAAAAAAGTGTACCTGTGGGTGGTGAAGTAATGATTATTTAAATTGATGAGAGTACGTTTGGCAGGAAGAAGTATATTTGAAGTCAAAGAGTAGTGTGAAATGGAAAGAATTGAATGGGTCAACCCTGTTTTTCAAGGTTGCTGAAAATATATCAAAAGAGTGTTTTTAGATAATAAAAAAACTGCTGTAGAGCTGGGATCCACTGAGTGGACTCCAATTTTTGGAGATATAATAATTGCCTAAACGGTTAATGTTTTTTTCTCCAAAGTCCCTTAAACATGTACTTAAATTCAATTAAAAGCACTTTATTTATATTTATATTTCAATTGCTTTGGCATGGGGCAAACATCAATTTCTAACTTTTCTTTATAATTAATCAAGAAGAAAAAATACAAAAAAGAAGTTTTACATTGTGACAACTGATTGAAAGTACTGGTGTAATGAACAAAATTCCACAAAAATAATGTGTTAGTACATATACTTTATTTTTTTATTTATATCTGTTTATCATTCATAGTTATAAAGTGAGAGAAGTTTGGGAGCAGAAACCCCAATTTTAAAAAATGTATATAAAAACTTTTATTGAGAAAGTGAGTGAGGAAGAAGAGTATTGACAGGTGGACACAAAGCAGAGAGAGGTTGGGTAAGATGGAGTGGGGATACAATGAAATAGATTCGAGGAGGCTCCGTGGCAGGGTAGGGATGGGCATTTCTCCTCTTCCTGTCTAATAAATTATTGTGAAGAATACCCTGGCAATAGGGTACTTCTGGTGCATTACATTTGCAACTCTGATTAGAGCAGATGGTAAGGGTGTGAATCCCATGAAACACGTAGATGTTTTCATATGGTCTGACATGATCTGACATGGCTAGCATTTTATATCAACGTGGATCTTTTTTTAATTCCATTGTTCATCATTTCCCGTTTTGACAGATACACACCTTAAGTTTTGCTTGATGTAGAGGGAAGGTTAGTGTGAGGAAATCAGAGAATACCAATCGTTGTAATTCCCCTGTTTGTTTTTTACACTGAAATTGAAATCTTCCAAGCTTTCAAGGCATTTGTGCTGGTGCTTTGAATCTTAAAAAATCATTCAGGTGTAACTGTACTATCATGAAAATTTTGAATATGTTGTAAGACATATTGTATGCTATATTTGTCCTTTGTTATAATTTTGTTGATTAGCTTATTTTTACTATTACTGTTATAGTTACTATTAGTGTTACTAGTTATACTGATTTCAATGAAAGGTCATGTTCTGAATTAATTTTTTCTCCCTGAGGAATGTTGTGTATTTTTGATTCTAGTTATTAAAATACATGACATTTCTATTGTGTCTTTAATACAGAAGTGTGTGAGTTTTAACTTTCTCGTATTCATATGTATATCCAGATTAATATACAGAATATAGAGGGAGAAGTAAGCGTAATGCTGCAGAAAATCAATTTCAAGATATCAAAAGAAATATCTTTTGCGGTCCTCTAATATTAGTTAGTGCATCTTCAAACTTTGGATAGTGCTAATTGCATTGCTTAAGATGCCATAAAATTAATTTTGCTGTGTTTGTTTGTTTGTTTTTTCAAAAATCACAAATTGTAATTTTGCTGAAGCATGTCAGGCCTTTAATAATCACTTTTCCGGCAATTTGTACACATTATTGCATTTGTTCATGAATGTGGTTAAAATGACTTCAAATGGAAGTTTTTTAAAACAAAAGATTTTTCTGAAAAAGAGCTCAAAATTTCGTATTTACATGAGAGCTTAAACGAATTTTTCTTAAAAATGAGGAAATATTTTTTGATGAAGTTTTGCATTAAACTCTTGTTTAATATTGTAAAAGTAATATTTCAAATGTAGCATTAGGAAACAGAAAAATTGACAAAAATGTCAAAAAAAATTTACATAGGGGGTCGATAGATGGCAGCTAGCAAGAGGATGGGACAAGAATGTAACTCTAGCCCAGACCAAAGAAATTAGAAACCTAACTAGTACGAGATAGTCTGGGCTATTCTGTAGCACCACTAGTTATATTATCAGATGATTACCAGGCTTGAGGGATCATGTAAGTTATGCTGAGAGTATCATCAGCTGTGTTTCATTTCAAAGGAAATCCTTATCAGAATCAGCTCTGTGATTCATGTAACAGGATGTTGCATCCAAATTGTGCAGTAAGGAGCATAGGAAGATTCTCCAGCAATTGCTCAATTTGCCTTACTATTAACAAATCACAGGAATTAATTTCTGCAGCAGTTGAAATCCTCTGGAATTTTTTAAATATCTTTAAGTTTTTGTAAATCAGAATTTTGGGAAAATACTCCTTTAAATTTTTTGTTAGTCTGGCTTTTTCTTTTTCCCTGGCCATTTGTACTGCCAATTTTCAGTATCATCTGCAAATTTCAATAATTTTTCTAGATCATGCCTCTTTTCTCCAAGCTATGTAATGACACCAGGTAAGGAAACGAAATGGGCCATAAAAAAAGTAGGACTTCTTACTTTTTTTATTTCTAAGGAATGAAGGATTTTCTTTGCTAATCCAGCCGATGATGCTTCATCCTCAGAACTTCACTTCGCTTGAACACAAAAAAAAATTTTGAAAAATTGGAGGAGAAATAAATGTTTACTGAAATCCATGCTCCCCAACACAAGGCAGATAGAGGAGGCAGGGGCAGTTCTTCATTGTTGAAGGATATTGCCAAAATATGTTCTTGGTATTTGCATTCAATTTGCTCACCTCTGAAAATAAACATTCACTTTTTGTACAGCTCTGTAAAATTCATGAAATGCATATGAAGCATAGTCAGGAACAACACTTACAAAGGTTTGGTGGTCTTTTCACATAAAGGCGGTTTCAGTTAAAAATATACCACATTGTAATGTTGCATTTCATGGGTCGTTATTAACTATAATGAATTTTTCAATAACTGATTCAATTTTTCAATAGTTGAGCTATTGAATTTCTGTGGTGATCAAAAAAGACTACATTGAACAATTATCTGAAGGAGGGTCTGCATGGCCAACGATAAATATAGCTAGAAAATAACCTGTGGCATCAGTTGTCTCATAAATAGAATTCAAGATTTTCATATTTTTGGTTTCTTCTTGAACTGTTCTTATCACTGCATCTTATTTACAGAAAGTTGATTATCTTGCCTCAGCTACTTTGGCATATTTTTTCAAAATATATCTTAATTTTAGATTTTCTAACTTCTCTTGACCACGACGTTTGTTTTGAAAATATAGAGGCAAACAGAAATTGTGACATTTTTACAGTGTGCTGAAAAGAAAAACATTAATTGGCCGATATCGCGTAGGGCATTTAGGGGCATTTAAACAGAAAGAAATGAATGAAAACTGCTTTTTGTGTCTGAAAGAGTGAAAAATTATTTCTCTCCAGTTTTTATGGTTGTTTACTTTTAAAATAAACTATTTTTTTTTAAGTGTCTAAGGAAAGCAAAACACGAGTTTATGGCAAAATAGGCAAAATA